TTGTTTGTATAGTGGATTGTGGATAAGGAAAATCACCTTGCAGGATGGATTATAGTAACTTAGTTAACAATGAACCAAGATAAAAATAATTGTGTTCATTTATTTTTATTCACTTGTTAGCTTTCTGTTTAAGTTGTGAAAAGATTATATTTAGTGCAACCCAATTCAAACCCCCTTTCTTGTGTTTCTCGCACCTTCAGAATCACTTCCAATGAAGCACACCTAAGAGGTACGACCTATGTCAAGCTGCAGAGACTTGATTTCAATCTTGATGTAGGGCTCGATGAAAGCCTCACCTAAAAGGTTAAAACGCCTCATCTGAGGGACTCAGTGTCTCATTATCCCGACTATGCATTGCATTGTATAAGGAACTTAGATTCCTCAAACAAATTAGACTCTCATCTGAGGGACTTAGTGTTTCCTTAATAGGAATCACTTCCAATGAAGCACGCTTAACATGCGTGACCTAGGTTAAGCCGCAAAGACTTGATTTCCAGTCTTGATATAGGGCTCGATGAAAGTCCCACTTGAAAGATCAAGACACCTCACCTGAGTGACTTAATGTCCCGCCAGTCAAGCTACGCGCTATTGTATAGGAAAGAATGGACTTCTAAGGTAAACTAAATCCTTATAAAGGGAAGTACCAGTTCTCAGATACTTCCATTAGTCGCAGGTAAAAAACAGTTCATCTTATGTCGAAGGTCTCGTGCTTAAGGGACTATGTAGTGTTATATTTGCAAAATGCCCTAATTCAAGCGATGTCGTGGGACCTCCCTAGGAAAAGGCGACAATATAAATTCACCTGAAGGGAGGTATCGCCTCTCCCTTAAGTCTCCCTCGCCCACAGAGGAAAATAAAACATGGGATAAGACGTGTCTTAGATACAAAAAAAGTCAAAGCCATTGCTAACCCCCATCTCCTTTGGAAATAGAGATTCAACTATCCTTCATTTGATTGAGTGAGAGGTGGCCTTTTCCGAGGAAACTCTATTTCCTAGAGGACTCTATAAATACATTACTCCTCAAGGAGTACTACACTCGTACCACTGCAACGTATTGAACCAATCTAACTGCCTTCCTGCTACTGAGAATCACCGGTCATCTACAAGATATCTCACCTCACATGAGATGGTCCTTTAAATAACCTCAAAACCACCACACAGGGCTTCTCACAGCCGTGAGCAAGCCCTCACTATCAAAACGAGTAATATACTTACAATAGCTTATGAGTCTTCTTTCCCTTGTAGGGAGAACATGCACACCCTGTAAATTTTTACCAGTACAGTGATACACTTTGATTCACACCTCTCTCCTTTTGATGATAATATTCTGGAACCAAAATTATATCCTTATCTAATTATTCTGATTCAGAAAGGGTGTCTAGGAATTCCATGGAAGAATGAGCTTCTTCGTTTGACTTACTAGAAGCCCTTTTATCAACCTTCAGAGGAGAGATGAATCGTGTAGAGGTCCATATGCCCATTTTTGTATTAGCTTGGGAGGAGATACAAGCCAAATAGTAGAGGAGCGAACATACTAGATATTCTATTCAGTTTCACTTTGAGGACCGATATATGTGAGCCCAATGATGGTGATGTGATGGTCTATTTGGATCTTCGAGATCAGTCCAATCTAGTATAATATGATTGGGTGGATGCTAGAGTAGCAACCACTCCATCTATTATAAACTATGAGGCTGCCATAGATGCTAATGGAATTGTGGCCGAAGATCCTCAGGAATTGTCGGTTCTTCCAGTGTGGTCGGATAAGAGGATATACAATTCTTTTGACGATTATGCGATCTTGCTCTACAAATGTCTATTCACAAGAATAAGACTCCAATTTCCTTTTTTCTGATTTTAGAGGTAACTATCTTGAAGCATTTAAAAGTTACCCTATCCCAGCTCTATCTAATGTGTCAGGTTTACACGAGGACATTTCAGCTGTGCATTAATTACAAGTCTAAGAGGCCTTCCATTGGACTGGTTTTTAGTTTATTCTATCTAGTTTGTTCTTCTAAAGATAACTTCCAAGACCAAGGGCTCATTAGCCTTCTAACTGAAAATCCTTAGTCTGACACCTCCTCCCCGAACTTAGGCAATTTTATAGGGGGCTTCTTGCTGATAAAGTCCCTTATACCCGTGGATGACCTCACTTTTTTCTATCTTCCCACTGATTCCCCTTGCTTCTGTCGGGGTTCCTTACCAAAGTATTGGTCTAAATTTCACTTTAATTAGAACGCTCACTCTTACCACAATAGACTGGGTACTTTTTCCCTTGACGAGGCAGCGATAAAGGAAGACTTACGCTCTTGGTTTTAGGGGCTTGGTTATGAGAGGGGTTCAGCCCTAGTGACGTACCCCTTACTAAGGTGAAGAAAAGGTGAATTTATCCTTATGCCATTGTGAGTGTAGCCAATCGGGAGGAGAGGAAGAAGATATTTGGTGAGAACGGAGTCTAAGTGTTTTTTAAACATGTGTCGTTGTTTTTTGCAGATAATATGGAAAAAGGTGAATAAGCAGAATATGTTATACGACCTTGCAAATGTTAAAGGCATTCCGGGCGTGGCGCCTCCTCTGGAAACATAACACCTTTCCTAGCTCTTGCTTTAATTTCGACTTCAGGACTTCTACTTTTGTTCCTGGGGTAGATTAACTTGTGGATGTTGCGACTACTTTGATCGTGGAGGAGTCTACCTTGCCTCTAATTTCAACAAAAAAGGCCTGAGATGAAAATCAACAATCCCTCTGGGATGAGGAATCTCCAAAATGAACTTGTGTCACTGGGGATGAAGTCTCGTGGGAGGTAACGCCCGTCATATGGATTCTAGACGTTTTCTCTTCTCTTCTTTCTCGCACTCCTGAGGAGTTTGTCGCTATCATCTCGACATCTGATTTATCTTTCCTTAAAAATTTTCCTGGGGGGGAGAAGATGGAACTCATCTCTGAGATTACTCATAGTATGTTCAAGGCTGCTTATCTATTTCCACTTGTTTCTACTTGCAAGGTAAATGTTTTGGATCTTGGTAATCCTATCAAGGAAATGGACACTTAGAAAAAGAAATGCAAAGCTATGGAACTGGAGTGCTCTACTCTTCTGGGACTGGTGAAATCAGAGGTGATATGGTATTATCTTTGTATCGTGCTCCGCATCACAGAAGACTATTCCCCAACCAAGGGAAGGATCCTCGTCCCTACCCTAAGGCTTAGCTCGGATCGAGGTGGACATCTCCGGGATCTACCGTCTACGCTCTCAGATTGGCTAGATCTGAAAGGGAAAGGGTGTGCCTACTACACAAAAATGTGTGTAATCCGTCTCAAATGAAAAATCATGCAAAAGATGCATTTAAGTCATATCCAAATCACAAAAATATGTTTAATCAGTATTAGATACTCAATCATGTAAGGAATGCGTTTAAGTCGTATCAAAATCGCAGAAATGCGTTTAGTTTGTATCAGGAACACAATCATACAAGGAATGCATTTAAGTCATATAGAAATTGCATAAATGCGTTTAGTCTGTATCAGATGCGCAATCATGTATTTCATCTTTGTTACCCCTGTCTTGAGAACTCTAAAAGGAAAGAGAGACAAAGAAATATACTATAGGGGAAGAAGATGTACAAATATTTATGTTAATAATGATTAGAATTTTTTAGAGTGATAAACAAAATGACTAGATAAATAAACCTTCAACGGTGACTCTATTATGGGTGGATGTCGTCCCGAGTCTTTGGTCGATGCCTAATCCCTAGGCTCCAGAGGTGCACTTCTCTTATTTAATATGACTCATTTAGTCGGACGAGGTGTCAGAGTGGATTGCGTCATATCTGCCCATCAACGTGTCGTTGGGTGGTCGACTTCACCAGGGATGTAGCTTGAAGACTACTATTGAAGACTTTGGACCCCGGAGTTTCCTTCGTTGAATGCTCCGACGATGCACTTTTTAATCACCGGGGCAAGTACTTCCTAGCTCCTTTCCTATTTTGAAGTGGGTATCTACCTCAAGTAGTCTACTGGTGACTGACGATATGCTTATAAGAGATTCAGTCTGGTGGTCTGCTTCTCTTTGACATAATATGATAGTCAGATGTGGACGATGTTCCTTGAGGAACTTGCCTCCCCATCATATGTGGAAGAAGTTTGGATAGCTCTCTCCGTCTAGTCTTTCTTTTGGTACGGTGATGTCGGTCGGTTATCTGAACTACTACCAACCTATCTCCTTGCAACCAGAGTCTGGGGTGTTTTCCCTTGGGCGCTTGGTTTGCCTATATTCTTTGATCTGACCTGAGGAGACTTCGATGCATCAAGTGGAAATCACGTGGTACCTGTAGGAGGCACCCGTCATTAGCTATAAACTCATCGTATCTTCGATGTTGCCATGGTAAGTACCCCAGTAATAACGAAAAGTACATGCGATGCCAGATCAGAGGATGGATCGTGAACCTTCAGCATGATCTTTGAGGAAATCACCTCTAATCTCTAATATGGATCTAGATCTGGATCCAGGATCATTCGTTATGTTACCTTGCATAGTTCTCGACAAAACTATAGATCTAGAATTTCGAGAAATTGCAATCGAAACAATGATCGATTGAATCGACTGCAACAAATATTCGTCTCAACTTCTGAGCGCTCTCGATTATGAAATCTGAGGAGATTGCGAACAATGGAGTTGGAAAACGAACGTGACCTCGTAGAAATCGTAAGAATAAAAAATCAAGTGAAGTGAATTTGAGACGAACTGAACCTCAGTAGTCTGAACCCTTGGCCGGACTAATATAATTATTATAAACACACAAAAAAAAAACTCTCCTTATTTTATAAAAGTATATTTAAAAACTCAATTCAAAAAAAAAAATTAATAGTATTTCACTAAAAATTGAAAATAAGAACAATTTTAAAAATTTCTTTTTAATTGTGACTCATCTTATTCATAAATTTCAATTTTAGGTTGAAAGTGAGAGTGTGTTGACTGGTAAAATTTCTTGGATCGACACAAATGGAGAAAGAGGTAGCAACAGAGAATCGGAACGAGTTAGACACCAGCATCACACTGTTGGAAGATTTGTCATCTTCTATTTCCGAATTACAACTGTAACTCGCCTTTCAATTTTTCACCTTCTCGTTTCGTTTCTTTCATCCATGTTTTCAATTTCAATGTTTGCTTTTTCAGTGACGCGTCCAATGGCAACGTTGGTGTTACTCTTGATTCTATTGGGAGTTCTTCTTCTGCTGATGATGGTACGAAAGAGGGTCATTTCCCCAATACATTTGCCTGCCAAAATATTGTGGAAAAATATCTCAAATATATATAGTATTGTTTTTTTTTAGCGATTTTTGTTACGATCTTATGTTTTACTATCTTGCTACCACCTCTCGATTTTACAAAAATAATTGGGTAGATCTTCTGATCTTAGTTACGATCTTTTGTTTTACGATCTTGCTACCCTCTCCCGATCTTGCTTGCAGGGTTTAGTAGAGAAAGTGTGATAGTTGTAGAATTATAGGGTTTTGAGAGGTGACTCATACATTATGTTATAGCTTCATTTTTATAGTGGATTTTTTTTTCTCGTCGTTCATGGATGAGGCATGTTGGCCTAACCGCGTCAATGATTTGATTTTTTGATATCATGCAAGTGAATGATATTGTGAAATATTACAGACTGGGAAGCAAAAGCCGATTGTGAACCCGACAAATTACTGTCTCCGGTGTCCTCTGAAGTTTTAACTGGAGTGTCGAATATTAAATTGGAGAATACCAAGAATCCAACCCCAAAGCGACGTGGAAGAGGAACATTCTCTTATGATAAAGATAAACTTTATAGTGATCGGTTACTTGATGGTTCAATTATTGATGATGTTGAGGATGAAGAAACTCGTTCTGGTTCAGAAGATAAAAAAGGTACACCAAACTGTAAGTAAACCTTGTTACGATTCGACCTTTCTGTAAAATCTAGTTATGTACTTATTTTGTACGCCCATAGTTTTAGTTTTATACTCCCTCCGTTCCAAAATAAGCGTTGTTTTACCAAAACCAAGCTGTTCCAAAATAATTATCGTTTTAATTTCTCAATGTAACATTAATTAATTTATTCCAAGTTTACCTGATATTAATAATGTGTGCAACATTTTCAAGTCATTACAACTGTTAATAACCATTAGTTAATAGGGACAATTTTAAAAATTGATACACTTATTCGTTAATTGATTATTTTTAAAATCTATGTGAAGAAAACTTAGCTGAAACTTATTTTAAAATGCGGGAGTATCACACAAGTTAGTTTACATATGGAATAGTAAGTTTCTTATGGTTTCTTTGAATACTTCTATTTTAATTTTCATGTTCCGGTGTTCATTATATGCATTCAAAATTTCAGTTATAATCTATACTTTATGTTGGGTTTTGTTTGCTTGATATATTGTGACCAAAACAATTCAATAATAATTATTTTTTTATTCGTTTCAGTACAATATGGGACCAGTCACGTTCTTGTGTTGTCTCACTTTTCACCAAGTACTAGAACAACAGACCTTGAGAAGGTTTTTGATGACTTAAAAAATTGTCATTCTGTGATTCGCTGGGTCAATGATACAGTTGCACTTGCAGTATTTCGAACTCCTGCAGAGGGTAATTACAACATTACATACCTGCCTTTATTATTTTGGGAATATCATGATTTTTACATGCCATTATATATTTGTTAGTGACTATTGGATACCAATAATTTTATAATGCAGCACTTGAGGCTCAAAGCAATGCTCGATGTTCATTTAACATGACAATGAAGATACTTGGTGAAGAAGATGCACATCTCAGTTCAATTAAACCAAATGGTAAGACACTGCTTTCTCTTTCTGCTATATCAGAGTGATATAAGGTTTACTGTATATTACAAGTTCCTTTGTGATGCATTTTCTTTAGGAAACCTAGGCACAACCTAGTTTATGACTACATTGACAGTAAGTGATATAATTCATAGATTAATTTGCTAATAAGTGATATGGTTCCAGAACTAATTTGAACAAAAAAATAGATACAAGTTAGCCAAATGACCAAATTGCTCGATATTATTCAAAATCAGAGTCTTTTTTGCATATTCACAAATTTTATGGGTGTAAAGGACTGACTGACCCTTAAAATTTCAGGGGACGGACTGTCAATTTACTTTATGTTTGATCTTTAAAATCTGTCAAATTTGTAGTAATGAGCATTTTTGTGAATTTCATATGTTCTGCAGAACTATTTTGGAGTTCACTATGCAACCTGGTTTTTACATTCGATATCGTTTGATTACTTTTTGTTTAGACTTGACAACATGGTAGTTCCCCTGCTCTGCATGAACATAGTGCAGTTCATGACATTTTCATTATACTTTTATGTAGCCTTCATCTTAAGTAGCTGGGGCTATATTGTGTACTAAGCAGGTTACTTGACTAAAAGTAAAATCCCACTGTTTATTGCAATTTTATTAACTGTATGATCAGTTAAGTTGTCTCACATGGTTTTTCGGTTTCGTTGTTTTTATTCAGACCTGAAACCACCTCAGCAAAGACAGAAAACCTCAGTCGTAGCAGCGCAGAGGATGATTGCTAACAGTATGGGGATAAAATTGCCCTCCCCCAGCCGTGGTACAGGCTTTCGGCAACATAAAAAGGAAGAAGATAGTCGAAAGGAACGCATTGTTAACAGGCAAAAATTGAAAGAAGATGCATGGGGAGAGGATTAATATATTTGTAGTGCTGCTTAAATGTTTGTAGCTTTTAACTCCATTCATTGTATCAATAACAATCAATGGGTTCTATGTTGTTCGCACAGATAGATGTATTTATCGAAAGAGTTTATGGAACATAAAATCGGGTTAGAGATGCATATCCGAAAATGTCAAACAGAAAATTGGATAAAATACCACCTTCATGTTCTTCTCCCTCATGATCAAAGGAGCTTCAACTTCAAAACCCTTGAAAAAATTCTTCTATTCTCAATCAACCTTTCAACATCCACTACTACAAAATATATCTTTGGTAACACCATATCACTACGGCCGTCTAAATAACTGTAGTAATAATTGATTTTTACTCGCCTGAATTTTTTAATATTTTATTAAAATAGATTTTATCACGGTCCTTGAACCCAACCGTTGTGATATATTAAAGGTTACATGCTTTGATTCCCAGCACCAATAATTTTTTCTTCTTTTCGTTACAAAAATAAGTTGTCATTATACTCTTATAAATATATTAAAATAAAAATCCTTATCACCACAATTAATACCAGAAATCGTTGTGAATTGTATTTACATATTATCATGGTTGTTTTTAATAGCCGTGGTGATAAGGTTTACATATATAAACAAAATTATCAAACTTTCCCTCAGAATAGCCGTCACTCTCAAAACAAAACCCTAACAACGCTTTCTTTCACATGCAGCGAACTCGTTCTCATAAACATCTTCAAACTTAGAGGTAAACAAGTTCATCTGCTTTTTCTTTCGTCTTCTTCTTCATAAGCTTTCTTCCATGTTATTCATGTTTTTTTTTTCTCAACAAAATCCTAACACCTCTCTCGTCCAATGCAGCAAACTAACCTTCTTCAAACTAAAAGGTAATCAATTTCATAGACTTTACCTTTCTATTTCTTCTCCATTAACCATCTTTTATTTTTCATATTTGTTTCATGTATGATACTAGTTATTCTTAAAAAGAAATTTTATCATTTGACATGATTTATTTCTTTTTTGGGTTACGTTTCCATTTATTTTAAGATGTTGTTAATATTAGTTTATGTTTCTAAAACAGGTTAACATTCTGAAAGTTATTTATATTTTGAAACATAAGAAGTAGTTTATAAATGGCCTGTATTACTATAGACAAATAATATAAGAAGTATGAAATTATTTTAGAAGCTTCATATATCTTCATAAATTAAAATTAGTATTTATTTTTCTGAAATTAATTAAAACTAGTAGTTAGATGACTTGTTTATCAGAGAATTCTTGATTTACTAATTGTTGTTGAATTTGAAAGTAAGTTGCTCGATTAGTAGTTTTTAACAGTGATTTTCTTTTATTTCAAGTGACTGTGTTTGATCTTTAACTCTTTCAAAGAGTAATAAGTAAAGAGTCGAGAGTTTTTTAAATTACTGAACTAAAAATAAGAAATGTATAAATATAAAATAGATAAAGAAATATACATACATAATTATTTTGTTTGGATGATTGTGTGTTGTGAAAAAAGGTACAAATATGGTATTTATAGGTAAACACAAGTTTGATGGGTCAAAACATCGTGATTTATCAATCTTGTTTGACTATTTGTGCATATGGTGTTTGAGTCTTTCCTTTGTTGGATCGTACGTGGTGTTTCAAATTTGACTTGATCTTTCATGATTTGTGACCTTTTTTGTTCTCTTTATCCATGCTTGCAACTCTCATAACATTCTTTTATGTCAAAGTCGCTTCAATTAGCGATGATATAAATATAGAATACAAGTAAAATTCTAATTATCAAGTTGCATTATGCTTTAATTGAATCTAACACTCCTAGGATCATCAAGAAAAAATTCGATTATCATGTATTTGTCTAACCTTAGTTCGAGTGGGGGAAATACATGTCATTCACAGATATTTTATTTTATTTTAGGTGTAAGCAAAATGCATTCTATGTTACATCTTAATTTAAGTATTGAGGTGACACGACATAAATAATAATTAATATGTGTGAATAATGTCATTTTTGCTTCTTAAAATAGAAAAATAGTTGTAAATTTTGTCTTTGTTGACAAGTGTCAGCAGATAGCATTTAATTTCAATATTAAAAAAGATAATTTGGAAATCTTATGGAATACTCAAAAAAATTGTTTTACAAGAGAGAGATACACTAACTTATATAAGCTATAACGCACCCTAGTGTATCCGGCCCAACTAACCATAATGGACCAATAAGAATAGGAAAGAACCATAAAAACTAATATATTATGTTTTAACATCCCTCTTAAAACTTAAATGGATGTTGAGCATTCCAAGTTTGGAAACTAAATTGCTAAACGGGGCAAGGTGTAGCGGTTTTGTAAATAAGTCAACCACCTGATTTTATGAATTAGTTGGCATGAGATGAACAATCTTGGATTGTATCTTGTCTCGTACCAAATGACAATTCATTTCTATGCGTTTGGTCATTTCGTGGAAGACCAGATTAGTAGTTATGTGAATGACACTTCGATGTTGCAATAAATCGTGACTGGTTGCTGGTGATTAATGCTGAGGTCTTGAAGTAAACATATGAGCCATTGGACCTTGCAGGATGTGTTGACCAACACTCTATACTCTGCTTCGGTAGATGATCAAGAGACAACAAGTTTCTTTTTTGGTTTTCCAACATATCAAGTTGTCACCTTAGAAGAAGTTGAAGCCGATGGTTGATCTTCTAGTGATGGGGAAGGCTCCCCAGTTAGAATCTGCGAACCTGACGATGTTGAGTTTTAAATCTAATATGAAGTAAAGACCAAGAGAAGACACATATTTTAGATATCAGATGATACAATATGCTGTAAGGAGATGAGATTGTGTTGGAGCTGACAAATGTTGGCTTAATCTCAATGTCCAAACGAGAATGCGTAAGATAAAACAGTTTACCTATGATGCTTCTAAATTGGTCAGGGTCAATAAGAAATGGTTCATCCAATTGATCCATTTTGTTGTTAGGGTCCAAGGAAATAACGAAGGAAGCCAAGATCTTTGATGTTGAATTTCTTATCCATAATGGACTTGATTGTATTTATATTATGGAGATTGGTAGCTGCAAGGATCAAAACGTCTACATACACTAGCACTACAGTGAAATCAGTTTCAGTTTTATTTGTAAAAAGAGAGTAATCAGATTTGGATTGGGAGAATTCAATGTCAATTAAAGTGTTAGTTAACTTTTGATTCCATTGACAACTATCTTGCTTAAGACCATAAATAGATTTATTTAGTTTACATACCATATTTTTAGGGATATTAAGGCCAGGGGAATTTCATATAAACATCTTCGTCAAGGTCCCCATGGAGGAATATCATATTAATATCTAGTTGATGAACATGCCAATTGAGAGAAGAAGCAATAGAAAGTAAATATTTAACAGTTCTCATTTTGATGATAGGGCTAAAAGTTTGAGTAATCTAAACCTTTCGTTTGATTAAAGCCTTTAGCAACAAGTCGGGCCTTATATCTCTCAATGTTTCCATTGGGTAAAAATTTCAATTTAAATATCCATTTGCAGCCAATAGCCCTTTTGTTAGGAGGAAGAGTTGTGATATCCCAAGTGCAAGTATCATTGAGAGATTTAAGTTCGTTCTTGATGGCTTGTTTCCAATTCAGATTGATAATGGAGAAATAATAAGAGGAAGGATCCTTGTGAGTAGATATATTTAAGTTAAATAACCTATGATGATGGGATAATTTATCATACGAGAGATATTGAGAGATAGGATAAGGAGTTGTACCTGCATATTGTGATGGTTGAGAAGGAGTGGTACCTAAAATGAGTGAGAAATGGTAGTCCTGAAGGTATGAAGGAGGTTTAGAAGTTCTAGTGGATTTTATGATAGTTGTCAAGTTAGGGAGATGGTTGTTAGGTGTGGAAACAATTTTAGTTGGAATAAGAGGTGGGTGATTGATATCTGGTTCAAGTTCAGTGTGTATAAGTATGTTGTTGGTAGGGGTGTTATGTTGTGTGGGTTCTATAGTGATGGGTTTAGGTTTATAGTGTGTATAGGTATGTTGTTTTTGAATGTTTCATGTTGTGTAGGGTCTGTAGTGGTAGGTGTCGCAGGTGTGGTATTGAAGATGAGGTAGTCTAGGTTAGAGTTGTCAAAACAGGATATCCGATCCTAAACGGGTCAGCTCTGACGGGCCTTGAGCTTTTTAGAGATGAACTAAAAAAATACATTTAAATATGGGCTCAAAATTTATTACCTGAGTCCATCCTCTAACGGGTTGTGGGCTATCCGGCCCTAAACGGGCCATTTTAAAATGATTTTTATAAAAAAATGAAATAAAATTTTATAATATTTATTATAAATACAATATATAAAGTATATTATTTTAAATATAACATATCTTTGAATTACTATAATGGTTAAAATAAATACTCTAACAGATTTTAAAATACGATACATGTTTGAAATTATTCTAAATAACACATATATCCGCATAACACAAATTAATAGCATAAAAAATTATGAAGCGGAAGGTGAAATAATTAAATATTAACTTAAATATATTGATTTATAATATTTAATATCTTAATATTGGAAAGATTAACAAAGATAAAAGTTAATAAAATGAAGTAACTCAATTTATTATTTTTTTATAGCGAAACAACATAACAATTATAATAATTTATAGAAATTTTAGTTATGCATGACAAACGAGATACTCACGGCCCATACGAGCTAGCTTTAATGGGTAACGGGTTTTTTAGAGTCGGAATAAAAAATCCCACATATAATTCGAGTTCCAATTGTAAGGCCCGAGCCCTATAAATTATCAGACTCGGCGGACCAGCCCATATGGGCTAGCTCATTTTGATGGCTCTAGTCTAGATCATCATATGTATGAGTGTGGTATGAAGGTTGTGGTGTAGTGCTAGGTTTGTGTGTAAGTTGGTGAAAAGGACAAATATGTCAAAATTAGGCAATATCATGAGAGTGAAGATATTTTTGGTGTGAACATCATACAAAATTGA